TGGCATCCTGGTGGTTAGGACACTCACCAAGACTTCTCTCACCCCATTTTCACAGACTGTTTTGGGTTGGAAGGGAGCTTAAAGATCATCTAGTCCCATCCCCCTGTCCTGGACAGGGACATCTTCCACTAGCCCAGGTTGCCCAAAGCCCCGTCCAACCTGGCCTTGAACACTTCCAGGGAGGGGGCAGCCACAGCTTCTCTGGGCAGCCTGTGCCAGGGCCTCACCACCCTCACAGGGAAGAATTTCTTTCTTAGATCTCATTTAATCTCCCCTCTGTCAGTTTAAAACAATTCTCCCTCATCCAATCCCTATACCCCCCTTGATCAAGAGTCCCTCCCCCCTTTCCTGTAGCCCCTTTCAGTCCTGGGAGGCTGCTCTAAGGTCTCCCCAGAGCCTTCTCTTCTCCAGCTGAACCCCCAACTCTCTCAGCCTGTCCTCACAGAGGAGGGGATCCAGCCCCCCCCCCGAGCATCTTCGTGGCCTCCTCTGGCCCCGCTCGAGCAGGTCCGTGTCCTTCTGCTGTTGGTGCCCCCAGAGCTGGACCCAGCGCTGCAAGGGGGTCTCCCAAGAGCGGAGCAGAGGGGGAGAATCCCCCCCTCGCCCTGCTGCCCACACTGCTCTGGGTGCAGCCCAGCACAGGGGTGGCTTTCTGGGCTGCCAGCTCACATTGCTGGCTCACAGGCAGCTTTCCACCCACCAACACCCCCAAGTCCTTCTCCTCGGGGCTGCTCTCCAGCCACTCCTCGCCCAGCCTGTATTTTCAGCAGGCAAACTCCAGCAGCTCCTGCCTCTCACTTCAGCTGGAAGAGGAGTCAACAGCACAGAAGAGACCACAGATCTGTGCTGAGACAAACTCACTCAACCCCAGTTGCCTTATTTTAGGCACCTAGTTAAGCTACTTGCCCTAATGACAATGCAAAATATAGTTTTCTCTCCCTGATAACATGATGGTTCAGAATAAAACAATTAAATCTTTACAGGATTAAAAATGAGAATCCATTTTACCCCACCAGATGAGCACCAGGATCAGAAGACTCATTGAAGAACCACTATCCATTAGCAGAAGATTTCTTTAAAGAAGTCATCTTTGTTTTCTAAGGTGAATATCACTTTATTTCAGGGTCAGTAGGTGGGTTAATCTTTCCTTAAGAACATTCTCCTCTCTTCTTCTCCCAGGCTCCTTAAACATACCGTAAGCACCATGATTTCTGATCTTTTGATTTCAAAATACTGGAGTGCATGCCAGTAGAAATATTTCATTTTCTTTAATGAAAGCAGAGGAGCAAGCCTTTACCTGGTGCAAAAATCAGAGCAGTGTCCTCAAAGGTAACATTGCTGCAGTGATTTATACCAAAGGAGGGTAGTCCCAGCAGAGCTCACCTGGACCTTTTGGGGAATGGTCACACCTACCTCAGCCTGGGGGTCACCTCCTCTTACCAGCCGCTAGGTCTCTTCCACTTTGGATGACTCTCCAGGCTCAGGATGTAAATCTGGTGGACTAACCCTTGGAGCCATGCTCTTAGTCTCCAGATAAACTAGAACGTCTCTCCTGAGCGTTTGAGAGCCTCCTGCATATTTTCATCAGATGGAATTCTTCACTTTTATGTATCTCTCTGCAGGTCTTAGTGAGTAACGGGCACTCCTCCTCAGGGAGCAAGTGTTTGTCATGGCTTTGGCAACAGTCCGGGTCTCTAAGAGAGGGGAATCCTGACGGTACACTGCTGGCTCCTTCAGGTGAATCCGTGAGAGTCACAACAGTCTAAATGACTCATAAAGGCTTAGCCGTGTATGCAGGAAGATGCAAACCCCTGTGCTAATTATTGTCACAAATATCAATAACCTGTTGCAACACTCAGCAGCCTCAAGGGGCAGAAAAGGTTGCAATCCAAACAAGCACACGTTGTTCTTCACAAGCCTCTCTGAAAATCAAGGGGGAGGTAAGAAGGTGCATCCAAAGGGCAATTTACTCCAAGTATCTTAACCACCTACTGCAAGCAGCTTAGGCTGTCGTAATTAGCTCTGGATGGGTGCCTGGAGCAGATGGCTGGGATTATGGAAGATGAAGGCTGACCCAAGCCTCCAGGCAGTGAATGAGCCTGAAAGGCTTCCAGGTTACTGACAGGTAAGAACTGGCAGGTCTGTGCAGGACCCACCTGTCAGAACACGACTGACAGTCCATTAAACCTTTTTTACTATGCTCCAGATATTTCCAGAAATATCTCAGATGCCCAGTATGTCCTCCCTTTCACAGAGAACCAGGTCATTCTGTTGCTCCACCTCTATTGCAAGATCAAAACCTTCTCATAACAGATTTTGAAAAGTGATGGTGCTAAACCAGTTCTTTCTGCAAACTTTTTGTCTAGCAGAAAATTCATAGCACATTCGTGGTAATTTCAGTGTAATTCATCTCTGTTCAACACACCCAAGAGATACCAGCTTCTGTCAGTGTCTGGAACATTTTCAGGAGTTTAAAATTCACACTGTTTCTTTCAGTATAGCTGTTTTTCCCTTTAAATGATAGAAGCCCATGCTTTTAGATTAAACTGACAGCATGGGTAGTCACCATGTAAGCAGCAGTCCATATTTGGACCATATTTGATCCATAGACAGGATTTATTCATCTATCCGTTGTCAACAACGTTAAGTGTAGACATATGAGCCAGCTGCCTAGGCCCTCCTCGCAGTCAGAAATTAAGGTGATAGTTCAGCTGTTCAGACATTGGTGCCCGGGACTACCCAAGACCCCCCATACATCTCTCCTGGTCCCCTGAAGGGCACAAGTCTCCCTACATCTTGTGCCGTATCTGCCAAACCTATGTCCATATGTCCTAGGGTGTCCTCAGGCGGAATTAGATGGATCAAGAGACTCAGTGTAGCCCAAGGGAGGGTTTGTCACGTTCATGTGAGCGTGTGTGGGTCTCCTTTGGACAAGTTCTCCATCAGTATTCCTCAGAGTGTAGAGGACTGGCTGAGAGATGGACACGTGGGACAGTTCTGGGCTCACCTTGCTCCAGGTCAGCATGACCTATGGACCTACACATGAACTACAGGTGTCCCAGCTTCTTTTCCAGTCTGTGAACTCCAACTGGGTGATTCAGCTGGCCAAAGGGGTGGCTCAGGCAGAAACACTACAGGGCTTACAGGACCCCGTGACCTTCTGAAGGAGCAGCTGGAGCCCAGCAGGAAACTTTCAACCGCACTGGAGACCAGAGCCAGCACAACCAGCAACAGACCAGCACCAGCAAACCCAAATATCGATAGAGTAGAGCAACGCAGAGAGTTGTGCTGACCCCAGACAGGGTTTTGGTTGGGTGTAGCTCTACAAAGGGCAGGATTTTAACAGCAGGGTTTGTATTTGCAGAGTTGACGCCAACACTTTCACCACTGATTCATATTTGTCCCCACTCTATTACCAAACCTCCAGGTACAACTCAAAACACCCCTTCCCCCTCGAGAAGGTCAAGAAAAACATGCATTCCAGTTGTTTGAGTAAACTCTGCTTCTTACAGAAGAATGACAAAGAATGAAAACCAAGTTGTAGAAAGCAGTTACACAATTATCAGGCAAAAACCTTTGAAATGTTTATCACTAAATTCTTCATCTCCCCTGTATCAGCTATGCAGCTCTGTTGTGCATTTCTCCTTCCTAAGGATATTTTTGGCCTATTAATTTTCCTCTTATAATGGAGGTAGGAATGGAAAGGAGGAGTTGCAAATAAAACCCCATGAAAACTATATAAACTGAAATCTGACATATGGAAAGGACGTGACCTATAGGCTGGGTGGGTTTCAGCCCCCATAAATTCAGATGTCTTGAAGTTAAATGTCAGAGCCATGTTACATTTCCTATATGCAGCATATTATGTCTTTATGCAACATAGTTCACCCAAGCCATTTCCCATGTTTCCTTTAACAAGAATTATGGTCTTTCATTCCTGTTAGGGAGAGGGATTAAGTTCAGATTTAATGTTTACCCATTAAACTTCAAATTTGGCCAGTTAAATCCCACAGCTAATGGTATTTCAGATACAGATAACTACATGCTTTGAGAAAACTAGAAATATTATGTTTATTGCAACTAACGCACCATGGCTTTATTGTACATCCTTAAGTTTGAATATATGTACTGAAAAATTCTACTAAACAGTACATTTAAGAACTGTCACTGTCCAATGCTTAATGTTGCATATTAACAAAGTTGTTTGAAGTATTTATTCATTATAAAACCATTTATTCATTATAAAATCATTTTGAAGGATTGAAGTGCAGCATAAAGTTTTTTAAATACCTTTGAACATACTTTGATGGGCCATTATTAAGAAGAGGATTCAGAGAAGTTCCCCTCAATTTCCACCGGTTCCTGCAGATTTAGGGAAACATTTCCTCCTCTCCCATCCAAGCCTCCTTGGTCTGTTCCACATGTTCTCCTGCATGCTCCCACCTGGCATGAGGATTATCTGGAAGCACTGAAGTTCACCTTAAATCTGTAGATCCCATCTCATGGCTAGAAGAGGTACAGCACTTGGTAGGGATGTAGTCTGCTGTGCTGAGGATGACCATGAGCAGTCTCAGGCCAAAGACAGCTGAGAAAAAAATGGTGCAAGTCCCCAGCAAAAAAAATAATCTCGTGTCATTTTTACAAGGCTGAGCCTTGTCACTGTATTTCCCTTCAAGAAAGGGGTGACTTGGGGTTGCCTAAGGAATGGCAGGTCCATGAGAAAAGCCAGCACATGTTTGTCTCCAAATATTCTGAAAAAATCTGGACATTTTAGCACATTCCCTATGAACTGACCTTTGGTAGGTCTTCAATGAGTACGTATTACTCCTGTTGTGAAAAGCACTATCTAGAGGCTGAGGTATAACAAAACAATCCCACATCAATAGAGCCAAACTACAAAATGGACAATAATATCCAGAAGAATTATCACAGCCTCTCTGATTTCAAAAAGACCCCAAAGCACAGACCCAATTCCCATCACTGCCTAAATGTCAAACCATTTACCTCTTTAGCAGGAAAATAATTACTCTCCCTACTGCTCTTTTCAGAGCACTTTTCACCTCCTGGTTCCTCAGGCTGTAGATGAAGGGGTTCAACATCGGGATCACCACTACATAAAAGACAGAAACGATTTTGTCCCTGCCCAGGGAGTAGCTGGAGCTGGGCCGCAGGTACATGAAGAGAAGTGTTCCATAGAAGATGGTGACAACCACCATGTGGGATGCACAGGTACCAAAAGCTTTGCGCTTGCCCAGCGCAGAGCCCATCCTCAGGATGGTGAGCAGGATGTGGCCGTAGGAGATGAGGATGATGGATACAGTGGTCACCTCGTTGAAGCCCCCAAAAGCAAGTATCAGCGCTTGGTTGAGGCGAATATCGGAGCAGGCCAGTTTTGACAGTGGTGGCCCATCACAGAAGAAGTGGTCAATGACATTGGGGCCGCAGAAAGACACTCTCAGCCCAAAGCCTGTGAGTACCACAGAAACAAAAAACCCCACTGCATAGGAGCCTGTCAAGAGGGAAACACAGACCTTCCGGGACATGACAATAGGGTAGCGCAGGGGGCTGCAGATGGCAACGTAGCGATCATACGCCATCACGGCCAGGAGATAGAACTCCACAGTTACAAAAGCAGCGTAAATATACAGCTGTGCGAAGCAGCCAGCAAAAGAAATGGTCTTCCTTTCTGATGAGATATTCAGTAGCATTTTGGGTGTGACAACTGAGGAGTAGCACAGATCCAAGAAGGACAAGTTGCTGAGGAAGAAGTACGTGGGGGTTTGAAGCTGGGAATCAAGCCAGACTATAGCAACAATGCCAAGGTTTCCCACCACGGTGATGACATAGACGAGCAAGAAAACCACAAAGAGGGTAACTTGGAGGTCAAGGCGATCAGTGAGCCCCTTGAAAACAAATTCTGTCACTGTAGTCCAGTTTTCCTGAGCCATCAGTGTGCAAGAGACTCCCAGCTCTCAGACAGGGAGACGATTTCCATGAGATCTGTTATGCTGACTTGATCCCTTGCTTCGTTATTAGTGGTTTTTAAACCTGCGCTCTGTAGATAATGAGGGCATTTCCTAACAAAACACTGCCAAATATCCTGACAGGATGCTCAGTTGGTTCACAACCCCCTGGCTACGCAGGCACACGTGTCTCCTGACTATAAGATGGAGACTTAAGACTCCATTTTAAACCAAGCTTTTCTTGGTTAAACCCAAGCTAATCTTCCACCTTCATGCACTGATTTGAAGGAAGAAAAAAAAACCACCACAACAAACAAGCAAGCAAGCAAGTTTCCCCTTGGACGCCACTATTGTCTTCACTATGGGCATGGTTTCCATCCATCTGCAGTTTTCACCACCTTTAGAGACAAGCAGCTCATATTCATTAATGTTTGTTCTGATATTAGCAGTCACTCTGATTTTCAGGTGGATGATGTCCCAGAGACTTTTTATTATCCCAGGTAGCTCAGGGTTTGAATTTGTTGCTCTGGGTGTCTATTCTAAGTGCTTAGAAACAAAAATAATGTTTGGCTTTTTTTAAAAAAATAAAGTTAGTGGCTACTTTGGGAAATAAACTGCAGTTCAATAACTGCTCTCATCTCATAAGAATAAATACATGGACAGAAGGGCATATGTATACATCTTTCTTTTTCCAGTATCTTCCAGCTTAGCTGGTGACTTGCTAAAAATTGTGCTATTCCCTTTTTTCCCATAATTTAGCTTACAGTTTAAGCAAACAGTAACTTCCCAAGTACTTTCAAACAACAGATTAACATGCCAAATTAAGGTTAGAAAGTAAAATATTCTTTTAGAAAAGAGTTGTAACATTAGTCTATCTCAGATATTTGAGAGCAGTTTAAATGTAGCTCCTCTTTCTCTCCAAGAAAGCCTCACTCTGCCCTCGTACCAGGCTGGAATAGACTTCAATTTCTTTTTTATTCCCTAGTCCAGGCCTCTGCTTGACCCTGAAGACTCTCATTGCCTCAAGTTCCTGCTGCCATCAATTCCACCACCATCCCCCAAACAGCACCCGAGACGTCACCTCTTCTTATTTCCCGCAGAAGATCCAGCCTTTTTCAGTCTGAACTACTTTTGTGCCGGCCTCTGCTCTTAGTTTCTCCAAGGAGATCATTCAAAGGACAAATAGAATCTGCACCTTTTTATTTCTGAGGAAAAAAATACAGAAAGTTAGGCAATATCCTATTAAGTTCCCTTGAAAGTGTGTGTAATCATCTCAAACAAAATGAAATAATTATTACATCCCAAAAAAAAGATTGTGCCTGGGAAGAGAGTAAACACATAAGACATGCTAAAGATCTCTTCTGTACACGTATATACTTGTCCCAGTAAAACTATTACCAGTAGCCAAGGATACATTTCCAAAGAGAAATGGCAGCTTTTGCTCTTGTGACAATCACTGCTACATTTCTTTGGCACTGACTCTAATCAGATCTTTCTTACCTGTCTACATTGCACAGAATCATCACCGACTTAAGAAAAAAAAATTATTTTTCCACCTTCTAACTTGCTTTATAAATCAGAGCTTCAGGAAAGAAAATTTATTCCAAGTCCTCTTTCCTTCTCTCTTTAATGCTACATGGTGTTGAACATCCACGTACGGCTGAGTCTCTCGGAGGCTCTGTCTTCACTATTTATTGCTTTCCATCTTAGGTAGTTGGGATGAGCTGCCAACAGCCTCGTTGGGCACATCACCCCATGCCAATCACTCTTGTTTTTTCTCCCCTTCAGATATAATTGGAAAGTTCCCTTAGCGATTTTTAAGAGTTAGATGTCTGGAGCGATTACTTCCTCAACCCTTGAGATGGGTTGTCTTCTGGGAGCCAGAATACACCAAGATCAGAAACTGCTGTGAGGTTATTGAGAAACAACATCTCTTAGAGACAGCATCTCAGCATTTTGTAGCTATGGAAACACTCAAGCCAGAAAAATTTATCAATCTTTACTAAGCCTTTAAAATCATAAGGAGTACCCTACCCATTTTCAAAACAAAATGTTACCAACCTACTGAAGACCATAATTCTAATATCCAATTAGTAAATAAAGGAGGTACTAAGGACCAGAGAATTTTAATATTATGTTAAATTTATTACTCCATTCCCCTCACTGAAAATACCGTTTCCCATGGTACACATGGTCTGGGTGGAGAGCAACAGCCAGAAGAGCCCTGGTGGGCTGTTGGGTACTGAGGGTGATGGGTTGTGCTCTGCCTGGGGGCTGGGGAGTGCCACAGGCCTTTGTCCTCCTTAATCTCTTTAAATAGAGCCAAGGGGGACACCACAGAGTGCAGGGGACCATCCCACAGTACCTGAGCAAGATGAGTAGAGCAGACCCAAGACCTGGACTGTATTCAGCCAAGATTCTAGAATGTCAGGCAAGTTGGGATGATGAGGCAGGTCCAACGTCAAGGCAAGTCAGTCCCCTGGTCAGATCCAGCAACTGATAAGCAGGTCCACGATCAAGTCTAGGTGCAGCCTAAAGGAATCCATAGCCATGCTAAACTGGAAACTAGGACACCTCTAGCATAAGCCAAGAAAGACACAACTTCCCTGGGCTGAGCTTAAATAGAGGTCATGGGCAAATGGGCAGAGGGTGGGGCTGGAGACCCCAGGTGAGGCTCGTCAGGGTGATTAAGGCCTATTAGTTCACTCTGGGACAATTAATCACTCTCTGAAAATGCCTCTTTCTCACCATTAAGTATAGTGGAAGCCCAGAGTCACCAGCTCAGTGGACATCTGGGCCACAGGTACATAAATGTGGATAATCCCACCCTTGCTGGAAAACTGGGCTGTCTGGCGCTCACAGAGGGACATCAGCAGCTCCAGAGACAATCAGCTGTACTTTGTGTACCGTTTGGGGATCCTCCGACAGATCTGAAACGTCTCTTAAACCCATTTTCATTCTGTCAGCAAGGCCAGACCTTTGCATGCTCCACAAGTATCTCAGAAGCATCACACAAGCTGGTCATCACTGTGCAGATGTGCACCTGTGCCCAGCGATGGCTCATCCATGTGACGTCTTCCATATATCCAAAGCAGCAGCATGGTTTTCAGAATTGTATTTCAATATTTCAACCTTTTTTTTTTAACCTTTTTTTTTTTTTTTTTTTCCCTCTCTCTTTGTTAAACCCTGTCATGAGGAGCCCTGGGGGCTTTCTCCCAGGAGAGCATGAGGGACCATATTTACAGTCCCATCACCCACAAGCTCAGCTACTGGAGTCCGGGAAGTCACACCGGGTGGTTAATAGAGGTTATGTGGGTGCATAGGTGCTCTCTGCTGTATTTGGGATAAACCCCTGACTCCCATCACTCGATCGCAGAGGAGGCACAGGAGGAGCCGTAATGCCGAGACAAAGCAGAGCAGTGGGCTTTCTTCTTCATGTCCTCTTTTTTTGGGCTCTGTCAGAAAACAGCCTCACCAAAGTAAGTTTTCTTTATAGTAAGACTGAGTAATGGCTTATGCAATTTTTTTTTCTCTTACTTAAGCAGTTAAAGCAAGATGAACTGATTTATGCAAGTGTTAAAGAAGGATGTGTCTTATTTTGTTATAAAGAAATGCAACATTTCAAATTGTCAGCAGAATATAGTCATTAACAAAACAGCCTCTGGAATCATCACTTTTTAAAATGAATTCAGTTTTCAAGTAAGCATCTTGACTTAAAGCCCATGGTTTCAGGATGTTTCAGTGTGCTGGAATTAATAAAGGTATAAATCATTTATTTCTCAATGTGGATTTTGTCCATTGTGAATGATATATAATAGTGTGATAAATGCGATCTGAAGACTGGAATAATAATTAAAAGCCAAGGGAAGATGTCTGCAGGTCATCAGTGTTGTGTGATCTGTGATTTCACTGGGACTGTGACTCTTACTCCGGGTTTACGTGCGCTCCTATGAGGTTCCTCTGAGGTGTCTTCTGAAACAAATTTCTTTCAAACTAAAAGTGAATAAAGATCTGATTTTTTTCATAAATCTGAAAACACACTTACTAGAATAAATCTGTTGGTTTAAGTATCCAAGCATAGGAAACCAAAATTGCCATTACTATTGTCTCTACTCACTCCCTGTGCTTTTCTTAGTACCTCAACTGAAAAACAAAAAACATGTGCAATTTGAGTTTAGAAAATACAGCAGGGGACAAAATGGGACAGTTACAACGGGACAGTTAAACTGATTGATTGGAATGAAATATGGTCCAAAAGTGAAACTCTATTTTTTATCATTTTGATATTTTTATTCCTTTTGTCTCAGCAGGTAACATCTGGCCATGGGAGGAAATCACACACAGACTAAATTCATCCTCTTGGGAATTACAGACAGTCCGTGTGTGCAGGCCCCTCTCTTTGGGTTGTTTCTATTGATCTACATTGTCACTTTGGTGGGGAACATGGGGATTATGGTCTTGGTTTGGGTGGTTCCCAGCCTCCACACCCCCATGTACTACTTCCTCACCCATTTTTCATTCACCGATGTCTGCTATTCCACAGTCATCTCCCCCAAAATGCTAGCAGACCTGTTATCAGAGAATAAAACCATTTCTTTTGCTGGCTGTGTGACACAGTTCCACGGCTTTGCTTTCTTTGCGACCGCTGAGTGTCACCTCCTGGCTGTGATGGCCTATGACCGGCATGTTGCTATCTGCAACCCCCTCCTTTACGTGACGGTCATCTCCAGCCGTGTCTGCCGGCGGCTGGTAGCACTGTCCTACCTCGTTGCCTTTTTTAGTGCCATCATCTACACAGGCTGTACCTTTGGGGGTTCCTTCTGCGAACCCAACCAAATCGACCACTTCTTCTGTGACATCAGCCCTGTGCTAAAGCTCATGTGCTCCGAAACCCACAGGAACAAGATGGTCATCTTTGCTTTTGTTGTGATAAATGCAGTGGGCACGAGCATGATCATTTGGATCTCCTACATCTGTATCCTCCGTACGGTCCTGAGAATGCGCTCAGCACAGAGCCGGTCCAGAGCCTTCAACACCTGCACCTCCCACTTGGCAGCCGTTTCCTTGTTCTATGGGACAATATTCTTCATGTACCTACAACCTGCATCTAGCCACAGCAGCCTGGATAAAGTGGCCTCCATCTTCTACACCGTGGTCACCCCCATGCTCAACCCATTCATCTACAGCCTGAGGAACAAGGAGGTGAAGGGTGCTCTGGTGAAGTGCAGGAGAAGGATGTTAAATCGCTGTCAACATAGACGAGTTGTATCAGCTAGCAAGTGAACAATTTATCTTAAGTGAGAAAGTTTGATGCTTTAAGATGACTGGATTTTTCCCTAAGCCTTGCAATTTTATGTAGGTTCTTCCACAGTTTCTGCACAAAAGTGAATTACGGTACTTAGCCCTGAGAAATAGATCCCACAAACACATCTTCCTTGGAAGGAAATCAGGCAGAGTGGGAGCCTCAAACTTTATTTCACTTTGCAGTCACCATCCTCTAGGAAGAAATTTATCTGAATTATTCCAGGCTTTTTTTTTTTTTCTCACAGGAAGCATGAATCATATTTTTATTGATTTATAACTTATTTTCACTGATAAGCATGTATTTTTCTTGCAAGATTATTGACCTTATCCCCAAACTCCAATAAAATTCCTCACTGTTACCTGCAAGTTATTTATTACAGTTAAGCTGCTGGGGTAGGAGAGAACATTTTGGAAGAGTATTTTTAAATTTGCTTGCCCCCACAAAAAAGTAAGATAAAAGTCTTGAGAAGATACAGTGCATTTTTTTCTGACTTAAAAAGTGAAAAAGCTGGTGGGAGTCAGGATTTCAAGCTATACCTTTGAATATCCAGGGGAATCCCTCCTCAGACTGCACACTTCAGTAGATGCCTTCACTTAAAGGAAGAAAGTGTAGGCAATATAACTAAAATATAATTAAAAATACACAATGAACCATGCTGAGACTGCCCAGCGTTAAGGACAATTTCTGCACAGTGATAGCGTCAAGGGGGCCTGCCGTTCATTTTAAGTGGTGTTTTACATTCATCTTAAGTGCCATTTACTTAAGTGGAGAGACAAATGGAATTACACCCGGAGATATGCATCAGTGTCCTGCATCCAAACACCCAGCTCAGGCTAAAGCACACCATGAAAACCAAATGGAGTATTTTGTTTAAAAATTAAGCATGTGTCTCGTTTCCATAGTTGACAGACAATCCTGAACACATAATGTATGGGTAGCTGATAGCTCTCTGGGTCTGAAAAACACAGCCAAAACCCAGCAGTTCTGCAAATTACAGCTCATGGAAGGGGAGACATAAAGCATGGTGCAGAAATGGCCACAACACCAGGGACAGGCCAGCAATTCTTTATCTTTACCTGGCAGGCACGTAAGAAAAAAAGCATCTGAATTTCTGCTCGTCCTAATTAATTCCAAAGGACATTTGTTGTTTCTTGCGTGCACACTCATAAGCATTTGTGATTAGGAGCAATTCTGCAACTTCCTTGCAAAATCTAGGGAGGTTCTGGTCGGGTGGATGAGTTCAGCATGGGGTTTTCCTCCTCACACACTTGATTTTGGTTGCCCCTTGCCTGTTGATGCCACTTGGACTCCTTCAGGTGTGATGAGTTACAGACCCACCTACCTTGTCTGCAGCAGGGAAACGCTGCAGCAGGAAAATAATCTTTCCCTGAGCAGAGTAGGAATTAGCTTATAGCTGGAAAGTAGATAGATGGTGAACAGTCTCTTTTGTGTGCTCTGGCAAATGTCAGCAAGAGGGGAGACATTATCTTAGGTCTGAGGGAAAAGTGGCTTCCAGCTGCAGCTGAATGTAGGAGCCAGAATCGATATAATTAAATGCTAAAGAACCTGGCAAGACAGAGACTTTTGATATCAGATAGTTTATTTTAAAACCCTCACCACACATTGTTTACTTCTATTTTGTTGGATATTTTTGCTTATGCTACACATAACAGAATCATAGAACCACCGAAAGCTTAAGTTGGACCTTGGAAGATCATCTGGTCCGACCTTTCATGGGAAAGGGAGCCTAAATAAGAAATATAATATGTAGAGCTCATTGCTGCTTGAGGAATTACCCCACTCTGGGTGTCCTTATTGCCTCTTGTTTTTAATTAAGTTTCTAAAGCAGAGACAATTAAAATGCTCAAAGGTTTACCCAGACTTGGTGTTACGCTCCCAAACGCTCCTAAAAGAGGTCTGGGCTGCCAGAGTCTTGTGTGTGGTGGATCCAACCCAGTGAACTTCCAAGAGGAACTTCAGTCTAAAGCGCAGGGGAGGCAGAATCGTAAACTCCTGCAATATAAGAAACAGGCTTGTTTTTTTGGAAATGCTTTTTCTACTAAGAGCATCGTTGAATTATTTTGCTTCAATCTTTGCAGAGAACAAATCTACAAAATGTAGAAACCCATGGCTGTAGACAGAAACTTCCCCCACAAAATACATAATAGATATCCTCTCCATAAGTGGCTCTGACAACTCAAAAAGTAAGCAACTTTTTTGGCAGGAAGGGCTGGAAATATGCCTCTCTGCCCTGTGCAGTTAGGCCAGTCTGAACGTTTTGGAAAGAGAAAACTGGATGCCCTGGAGATCATTCAAAACCTGGCCCTTACTGACCTGAGCATGTACGACTATATTCATATAACCTAGACTTATCTATCTAAAAATTAGTTACAAAACCTTAAGCTTTAGATACTTTATCTAGCTTTATCCTTTAGGTAATAGGACAGATACCTCAGAGTGATGCCTAACATAGATGAGATGAATGCTGGCTTTTTCCTGAAGAAAAAAAAAAAAAAAAAAAAAGTATTTCATGAATTAGTTTTATTAAATTTCCTGTACTTGTACAAAAAAGAGTCATTACCCTTAAAAAGATAAGGGAGCAAGGCACTGAAAATAAAAAGAGGTCATAAGGCAGGTTTTAAGCTATAAACTGGGAGATGCTGATGGCTGTGGAAGAGCATTTTAACAGGGCTATCAAGGAGTCTGGAGCTAACATCCAGTGTACATCTGAAAAGACTAAGAGGGGGGGAAAAGTGTTACATACAATAAAGTACAGAAGACTCGTCAGTGTGTCTATGGTATGTGGGGACTGGCACAAGCCAGTAGCAGAAAGAAAGCAAGGCTTGGAAATGTCTCCAAAAAAACCTGGAAACCTAAGTAATAGAGTAGGGAAACAAAAATCTTTGGTGAAGGAAATCAAGTGAAGCTATGGTGTTGTCTGTCACAAAACCAGCAGATAAATATCATCCCAAAGCTACTTCCGCATGAAAACCTCCTTCAGGGCATTCTTCACCTCCCTATTCCTGAGGCTGTAGATCAGGGGGTTCAGCATGGGCACCACCAACGAGTAAAACACAGCAAAGATCTTGTCCGTGCTCAGAGTGGTGCTGGCCTTTGGTCGGAAGTTCAGGGCGAGGATAGAGCCGTGGAAGATGGTGACTCCGGCCAGGTGAGAGGTGCAAGTGGAGAAGGCTTTGTGCCGGCCCTTAGCAGAGCTGATCTTTGAGACAGCACAGAGGATGAAGATGTAGGAGACCAGGACGGCCGAGATGGTCACCATCTCCACCAGTCCTGCGAGGCCCAGTATCAGATGCCTGTTGAAGTGGGTGTCAGAGCAGGAGAGCGCTAGAACAGGCATGAGTTCACAGTAGAAATGGTCAACCTTGGCTGGCTGGCAGAAAGGCAGACTGAAGGTGAAGTCCGTGTGCACCAAAGAGTGCAACAAGCCAAGTACGTATGAACTGGTCACGAGCACGATGCAGACCCTAGGAGACATGATGGATGGGTAAAGCAAAGGTCTGCAGATGGCCACGTAGCGGTCATACGCCATCGCAGCCAGAAGGAAGCACTCGGTGGTCCCAAAACCTATGAAAAAAAAGAGCTGGGTGGCACAGCCAGCTAGAGAGATTGTTTTCTTCTCCATCAGAAGGTTCATTAATGTCCTTGGTGCCACCACTGATGAGTAGCAAGCATCTAGGAGAGATAAATTGCTAAGGAAAAAGTACATGGGTGATTGAAGCTGACTGCTGCTCCTGATCAACGCAACCATGCCCAGGTTCCCTGCCAGTGTGATGAAGTAAATGAGGAGGAACAGGACAAATAAAGGTGCCTGTAGTCGTGGGTTGTCTGTCAGTCCCACGAGAGTAAACTCTGTAACTTGCTTGGTTTGATTTTCCTCAGTCATCTTCCCCAAAAGCACTGTAGGTTATGTTCGGAGATCCATAATAAAAATAATAAATTAATGGAGAGACTCAGCACATAAAACGGTCAACAATCCCCAACAAGCCACCAGCATGTCCATCCACCCATGATGGCAGGGTACAGGAGGGACTTGCAGATGGCCACATACCTGTCGTAGGCCATCACGGCCAGCAAGAGGCACCTGGCGACCCCCAAAACAATGAAGCAGAAGAGCTGGGCTGTGCACGCCAAGAAGCTGATGATTTTCTCCTCTGTCAAGATCTGCACCAGCATTTTGGGGAGGATGACGGAGGAACAGCAGACATCAACAAAAGCCAAGTGGCTGAGGAAATAGTACATGGGCGTGTGAAGGTGAAGATCAGTCCTGATTAATATAATTATCTCAAAGTTCCCCAAGAGCGTCACGGTGTATGTGGCCAGGAAAGACAAGAAAAGGGGGACCTGGAGATCCGGGAAGGTGGTTGGCCCCGAGATAACAAACTTGTGCACATCAGTGTGATTGACAGGTGTCACTCTTTGTAGCACATTCAACCTGTGGGAGACAGGTAAAGTGATAGACAATGATTTGGGCAGCTCAGCAGGACCCTCAGTGTCACCAAAGGGAGACAGAGCCCTTCCTATCTGAGGGTCATAAAATGTCAGCTGGACTCTGGATATCTCGGAGGAATCAAGCCTGTCCGGAGGCTTTGAAAGGATCCTAAAACCAAAACCTACTTGTCAAACTAAACAGTGATAGTTCCCACCTGGGTTTAGCATTTCATCTCCTACACAGCTTCATATTTGTGCCTTCCTGGGGACACTTAACACAGGAGGAAGGCCAATACACTGGGCATTTCTTAGTAATAAACTTTCTTCTTTTTTTTAAATTAAGATATTTAATGCACCTTTTTTTTTTTTCCTTAGTAAATAACAGGTACATTTTGAAAATAATCTGTTTTTTTTTTAAAAATAAACCAACATGGAACAATTCAACTTGCAGAAATACTTTTCCTGTTAACTTTCATTTCCCTTTGCAAAACAAAGCAGAGCAAAATTGTGCACATTTTTCTTTTAAAGCTGATACAAACACACAGTTTTCAGTATACACAGTCTTCACAGCCCCATAGGAAAGGAAAATCACATTGGCAATGTGGAAACTAACTTGGAAGACAAGCTGAGGTTATACAAGCCAACACAGGAGCTGAGCAGGGCAGGGAGAGGAGGTAACGCAGCCCGGGCTGCAGGTAGCGAGCACCCTCTTGCCTGGGCCATCAGGGCCATTACAGAGGCACCTATGAAAAGACCAAACACCTACGTGTCTCCTTGCTTTACATCATCTAAACTTTAAAGCAGAAGAGTCCTCCTCCCATGTAGGATACCTTCTGCTGTTCTGTCTTATTGCTATAAATGAGAGATCTTACACCTCTGGTCCTTTCTTTCCTCTCTCTCACTACCTTCAGGTCCATAAGATAAAAAGAAAGGCGTGCTTACTTTAGTCCCATGATGTCCCTTCATGTCCCACTGCTTCAGAGCAGGTCCAGGGCTGAGGACTGGCCAGAACAGAAGATGCCCTCACCTTAGACACAACTTCTCCAACGAAACTCAGATCTTCAGTGCAGGTCCATGCAGCTCCTTCAGCAACTGGGATGAGTTTGGGTGCTGCTCCAGACGATGACCAAGGTCATAATCCATCTACAACCAAATGTTGAGAGTGCATTTTAGAACTCTTTCCTTAAAAGTCACACTGAGGATGATTTACTGCTGCACCTTCCAGAGGGCAGAAAAGCCCCCTCTGTACTTTATAGTGTTCAAGTGGTATTTATACTCATCCCTGTGACCTTGGAGGCATTCGAGTCCATGGTGAATAGAAGCCTGACAACAAGCAAAATCCACCCGGAATATAAGTTTCTTCATCTCCAGGCTCACTAATGAAGCCCAAGAACGATTTGCTTTGAATATTTGAACTTAAGAAAATGTCTTCCCCCCTCTCCCATGCTGAGGAGAGGGAGTAGATGAGAAGTGAATGTCTACATGATTCACCAAAAGCAAATCCCAACTTTTTTTTTCTGCAGTTATTCCTCGTTACTATCTAACTTTCTCAAGTGTCTTTCCTGGTACCACTTAAGCTGGATTTCAGCAACACAAATAAATTTTTTGCAACAATTTCCTGAGGTCACGATCTCCCCTTGTTACCACCCTCTTGCTCCAAAAAACACCTCAAATGTCGATCTTTGCCTTTGCTGGCTTTGGTTAGACAGTAATTGTCCCTCTACTAAATTTTTTCATGGTTTGGTGTTTTTTAACTTTTGCTATGAGCAGTGATGAGAAGAACAAGGCAGTATCAATCACCTAAACTCAAATCAGTACCAAAACTGCAGTCTTACCTAAACAAAATTCTTTTCACTGCGAACTGTCCATGGGGTCCAAGTGCCATGACATGTATTATCTACAATACTGTGGTCTTGATTTATGGATTCACAAAACAATTTTCTATCTGCTTTCTCTGAGAAATTTAGTTTACAGAGCTGGTGGTCCCTCTGTATTAGTTTGACTTTCAGAACCTCCAGCAGCTGCATTTCAGAGACCACTTATTTCCGCTGTTATTAGCGGGTCTGTCCATATGTGTATTTGTTTGACAATGAGAATTCAGAGCTGTTATAAACCCCCTCAGATAAACTCTGCATATCCCCAGGCTGCCTGGTGACAAGCTCTCCCCATCACTTCACAACTGGTGTCAATGGCCCCATGGCTAAGAGGGATGCCTTCATCTAGTGAAATATATGAATATTTAAAGAAAGGCACCAATTATTTTCAAAATTTCTCACAAGTAGGTCTTCTATTAAGCTCCTAGACAGACTTTTTTCTTCAATGTTATTTTTTTCCTAATGAGATTTGGGGCCAAAGCCCTCGGCAGGCTGTGTACAGCCACCGCAGCCATTGCATCTCTCTGGGGTACAGACAGCACTCAGGAGCAGTTGAGCATGACCAGCTGGTAATTTCCACTTCTGAAGTCACTCTGCCTTGATCTGGCAGCAAACTCACCAAAGACCTACCTGATCCCATATTCACAGCTTACCTAAACGCCACTGGGTCCCCAGCTTTCCAGCAGAATTTGAGTCTAGGGGGACAAGAACAGCATTTTCTGTCAGGTGTCCAAGGTAATTTCATAAGTAGGAAAAGTATCATCAGCTTGAAATATTACAAAGTCTGCCAGATTGTGTCTGTATTCTTGCTTCCACTCCCTATTCTTATTCTGTTCATTAAACCTTAGTCACTCGGAAAACATACAAAAACACAATCTGTGCTCAAGTGTGCAACAATGCCAAAAATCCTCTAATGAGTTTTAATTTAAAGGAATGCAGAAAGCAAAACCTACCAAAAAAAAATTTTAAAAATTTAAAAATAAGCTATTGAGAGTCTGTGTGGCCCCTTTCCCTAAGATACCTAGCAGTTTTGGGTCTCTAGCTCCCAAAACTTTGTCCTGGCAGTGAGAGACAAGACACCCAGATTCATAAGCAGAATTGTGATTAGGCTGGGGCAAATCTTTCACCTCTGGAAACCAGCTGGTCTGTATGGGTTAACAGCAGCACGCAGCTCCCTCCAGATAGGCTCATAAGCTGTGCTTGAAGTTTCATTTCATTCCACAAAAATCTATGCAATTTCAACACTGTCTTGATGAGCACTGAACAGCTTAAAGGGGTAAAAAAAAAAAAAAAAAAAAAAAAAAAAAAAAAAGTGAGATGTGAATTGAATCATTTAATGGCGTCAGCCTGTGGCGCACAGTCTGGTGCTCGTCGCCGGGGCCAGTCCCCTGGATCACCATGGGATTTCTCATTGTGTATCCCAGCCTGCAGGACTCCAGAAAGAAATACCAAAATGAAATAGAAGACAACAGTTTTGAGAAATGAAAAGCTAATTATGGGCTTGTATTGTGGTGTTTTGGGTTTTTTTTCTTTTTCTGGATCATTTATAACGCCTCAGTACTTTTATTTAGCATACCAGCTGGTGAGTCTGAGCATGATTTAGCTCAGTGTTGTCTTCTACAGGTGTAGACTTCTTCATCTGACCATCGTCCACCCTGTTGCCAGGTGCTCTAGGAAGTAATTCATCCTGCTCCAAAATAAACATCCTAACTAGCTTCTCCAAATATTGCATAAAAGTTCCCACTTCTCCCCATTGACTGCAGACTTCAAGTTCCTGCACCAGGAAAAAGCGGTGTCTATTGTCCACACCCTGGTAATCCCCATGCCAAGTCTCCCCAGATCCACAGCCTGAGGAACACCAATGTGGAGGATGCTCTGGGGAGACCCCTAGGAAGACTTCTTGTTTCCTCCCAGATGCAAACTGGTGAAAAGATATAATCAACTAAATTCAAATAACTTGGATGTTCTTGAGAATGCATTTTTGTTCTGCAGCTGTAGTGATGAAAATAACGAGCAGGTAACATGGAGAGCCATGAAAACTCTGAAAAGTCCCTTTCTGGGGTGCAGGGAGTAACTCATCTGGGGGATGCACAACTGTGCAGCAACATTCTGTTGAGTGCAAAGCCATAGTGAATAGCTGAAATACACACCTCGGGGACCGGGTCCTTAAGGAAACGCAGAAAGAGGTAACAGATAAATACCCCCAGCCACACGGCACAGGTGGTGCTGGGGCAGGCGAGGACATACCTGCTGGTTCTGCCCTGCGAGATGAGCTGGTGCGGGGATGTCACACAGAGAGCACCATCACACTTCTGTTCTCGTGGTCTCTAAACTGGCGATCCCATCAGCGCTCGGTGGACAAGACCATAGGTAAGTATTTCTGGGCAAAAAGAGCCAACAAAGGATATGATGTCACAGATAGACAAAAGGCAAATCTTCAAGGGCATTTATTTTCCTTTTCTTTGTCTCCTCATCTCTCTGCCCATCCCTTGTGTTACCAGATGACAAATATTAGAATCAACATATGAGACTAGATGAGACGATCATCAAGCTCACTGCAGCACCAGGGGTGCTTGGAGAG